CAGAATTTTCCACGTAAAATCAAATACGTGCATGATCACATGATCCTGAACAATGCAACCTGTAAACGGTAATATCATCAGTACATCTAACAGTACATCCAATGAACATTTAACAGTGATCTAATCAATTAGCAATCTAATTAACAGCTAACAGTGATCTAATTAACAGTAAGCTAATCAACCACCAGGCAGGAGCACACCCCAGACAGCCCGGCAACAACCCCACACACCTGGATATACAAGTACATTACACATGCTGTCTTTCAGGTGTTTTCCTTTCACTTGTATAATCTGTCCACTAGAAAAGTCATCATAAAACAGAACTCGTACAATATTCCAACAGTCTGTAAAAAGTGGAATTCATTTATCTTCATAGAGATTTCTTGAGGGAGATTGCTGATAAATATTTCTGTCCCAAGTGGAGGAGCTTCTCCAACCCAGTCTGCTTGAGGGCCACCATGTTTCCTCTGACCATTAACCTGTACCAGATCAATATTACACCTTTCCATTCACTCCAGAATGGAAGCTGTATTGACTTTATTCAGAGAATTAATTCAATCCTCACTCTGTGTTCTTCAAGTTATTATCCATCATCACAGCCTGATCTGCTCTCACCACGTCATCAGAGGCTAAACTGAGTTCCATGCTCTGACTGGGAGAAGCAGACAAAATTTCCGGTCTCCTCCATGGGCCATAATCAGTGGGTTGAAGGCTAGTCCCTAGTCCCCTCCAAAAGCCTCTGTCCCGGTTTGGTCTGTCACCCCTTCGGGCTGCTGAAAAACTACCTTCCTCAGGACACTTACCAGTTTGCAAAGAGGTCCCCCTTTAAGCTTTATTCACACCATATGTAATATACAGTGTAATATACCAGATACTCCGGCTGCTCACAACGGCTGAGCACAACGGCTGAGCACTGTGTCCACCAAGAGGCTCTCCAGTACGCATGTGTTGAGCGATTGTACCGGTACGTCGCTTTGCCACCCGCTATCAGTAAATGTACTATTAGCAGGCAGCAAATGGTTATAGTTCACGAATATTGTCAGGTGTGCACAAGGATCTGAGCGCCACTACTATTGACCATCAGATAGCAAAGGTTCAAGATTGTTGCAGTTGTGTAGGGAAGCTCCCCGCTATGCAATGTGCAGAGATAGATCCCATCTACACCTTTACCATATATTAAGATCTTTTCTTTGTTCATTCTATTCTTCACTACGGAAGATGAGGGCTTTGAATTTATCAATGTCATGCAACCTCTAGTTCAGAAGGATAACGTCACATACTTCCTATCTGACACAAGAGGTCACACAGCAACAGAGGAAAGTACCGGTGTTTTGATTGCAATACCTTGGCAATCTATCTGGCCATCTTGAAAGAACCTAGGACTTGGAAACAGGAGTATTATTTTCTGCACCCTGGCTGCCTGGCTCAGTACAAAGTCATACATTGGAACAGCCCATCTATTGGAATTAAATTTCTTTCCTCCTGAGCTGTCCCTCTTTTTGGTCATACTACACTAAACCTGTCACCCATTTGTTTTGAAAAGCCAGTTTAAAGGATAAGTAGTAGTGAAAAAAAAAAAAGAACTTTTGGGTTTATCAAATTATGTGCTTATGAATTCTTCATGGTTCGTGTAATTGTGTGGGTGGCAGTGGTGTGCCTTTTGCCTACATACTGTACATTGTGCTATAATGTGTGCCATTTTTCATCTCACAAAGTTGGAAGGTAGGTATAATACTGAGGTTTTTACTGTCATCTCATGGGAAATTTCTTCAATGGGGAACACAGACCGGAACAGTGTAAGGAAGTATTAGAACGTCTATTAATATAATAAGGGAACCTTGCGTTTTAGTGAAACGTCTGCTGTATTCCTGTATGCATAAAGACATGGCATAGACCTGGTAGAGTTTAGAGTGGAGGTTCGTGAATGGCCATTAGAGAGCCCTCACCTCAACCCTACTGAACACCCTTGGGATGGATTGGAATGCTAATTGTGAGCCAGATCTTGTCCAAAAACAGTATTTGACCTCACAAAGGTTCTTTTAGTTGCATGGACGCACTTTAAATGCTTGTGGAAAGACTTACCAGAAATGTGGATGGCTGTTCCAGAAAGGGGGGGGGGGGGGGACTTTATCTCAATGCCATAATTTTAGAATGGGATGTCCAGCAAGTTCATGCAGGTGTGATTGTCAAGTGTCCACAAAGTTTTGGCAATATAGTGTAACTGTCTTGTGTTAATTACACTTTTGTGGAATATTTCCTTATGTTTGGTTTGTTATGAAATCCTTTTAATAAAGGTTATGGTTTAGAATTACAAGTGAAGCATCTAATTAAGGTATTGCATGTGATAATTGGAGGCTCTTGGGTGGTATAAGGTTTCAGTAGAAAGAAGCGCTGAGAACTTCTGACTCATGGAATCATACAACACATACAGGTATTTATCAAATTGTTGGGTCCAGTACTGCCAAGGTGAATGTTCTGCATTTCCTTCATTACGCGAGCTAGCAAGAAAAGCACAACAGAACCTGACACTTGATATAGGAGAAAACCAGCAGTTGTCCCACCACCTGTCATTCTCATTATGACATATACCTAGCAGACCCTGCTCTAGCTGGTTGACTTGTTGAAAATTAAGGAGTTTCTCAGTTTGGAATATATACCGCAGTGGCTTCTTTCACTTGCTGACTTGTTTAAATCTTGAAGCTTTCTAGGGAAGACCTTCCTTTTTAAGCTTTCTGACTCTGCTCTGTACTGCTGTCCTAAAGCTGATTTCCAAGCAAATGGTTAAATACACAGCTGAAAGCCATTTAAGCTGTTTTACCAGGCAAAGGTTTTATTTTTCTGTCTATTCATTACTGGGATTTACAGAGCCCTGTCCCAACACACAACCTGCCTGGAGGTCTGACTTTTCTTTGCTTTAGGTAAGTAATGCATCCAAATCTTGTTCCTGCCCCGACTTGCGGTTGGAAAGTGAATGAAAAGCATAAAATTGATGAGCCACTCTGTGCTCTCCTCCCTTTTAACAACTGATTGGCTCCTTATGCTTCTTTTCCCTTTTCCAGTATGAGCTCTGCCATACAAGGGTTTGGAGGAGGCCAATGCCAAGTCAGATTTAGGTACTTGCACAAGCAGTTTTAAAGACTCGCCTAACCATTTTTTAAAATGATTTAAGGCATGTTTGACGTACAAACACAAGTAAATTTACATCTCCCATTCATGGTTACATAAGTCAGCACATTATGCATTATAGGTCAATATTAATTACACTGACCGGCTACTTTTAGATACACCTTGCTAGTACCGGGTTGGACCCCCTTTTCCCTTCAGAACTGCCTTAATTCTTTATGGCATAGATTCAACAAGGTGTTGGAAACTTTCCTCAGAAATTTTGGCCGATAATGACATGAGTTACTGTTGCTCTTCAATCATCTCAAACTAGTCTGCCCATTTTCCTTTGACCTCTAACATCAACAAAGCATTTTTTCGCCCACACAACTGCCACTCACTGGATATTTTCTCTTTTTCGGACCATTCTCTGTAAACCCTAGAGATGGATGTGCGTGAAAATCCCAGTAGATCAGCAGTTTTTGAAATACTCAGACCAGCCCGTCTAGCACCAACAACCATGTCAAAGTCACTTAAGTCCTCCTTTCTCCCCCATTCTGATGCTCAGTTTGAACTTCAGCAAGTCGTCTTCACCACATGTAGATGCCTTAAATGCATTGAGTTGCTGCCATGTGATTGGCTAGTTAGCGATTTGTGTTATCAAGCAATTTAACAGGTGTACCTAATAATGTGGCTGCTGAGTGTATATCTAAAAAGCAATATCATATTCTATTCCGTATTTGTCATTTTTTTTTAATGCTGTTGGAAACCAACTGATATACAGTACACTTTAGAAGTTTAGACTCTATTTTCTGATCTTTGAGAATGCATTGCTTCACAGTACTTGTAGCTACAAAGGTCCAGGAATAGCTTGTTTTAAAGCTCCTTTACTGATGAAGAGAATATGAAAACATCGACTGGGTACAGATGCACATTAAGAATTTTTACGTGCATTTATATGAATCTATTACATGTCACGTGACCTCTGGTGGACCCTTTGAGGGTACATAATGAGAAAACTGCATACATTGGGTGATCCTGCAGCACAAAGCCATGCAAATGTGTTAGTAGTTTGGCAGAAAGGTCCAGTTGTGTTTTCAGGAGCTAATGAATGGCTAATGGCATGACAGATAGGGCTGCTTTGTGGTCATCTGTATCCAGTGACCTGGAATGGCAAATGTGGTTTTACATAGTCATTGTATAAGTTGCCATACGAATGTTTCTTGTTGTGGCTTTTTGGAGCATTGTAGGATTTATTAAACGTGGAGCACCCAGTGACAAAATATGGATTTTAGCTAGCTACAAGGGAGACTGATTCAGCACAGTGGCATGTTTCCAATTTAATTTGATGTGAGTTAGCATCTGCTTTATTATGTATTTATTATATTATTACAGGTAGTTTGATATACCTAAAGTGTATGTAAAGCCAAACCTTCCCATTGGGGAGGTTTCCCTCAATTCTAAATTCCATTTCCCTCAATACAGGACAGGATATGAGAGAAATCCCATGTAAACTGGAACTATTGTTTACATTTGATGATTTCCTTTCTGTTTTCTTCTGTGAACTGTGACATTTGGGATTTTACCTTGCTTTCAGTCCCAGGACACAGAGACCAGCAAATATCTAATGCAAGGACCTGCCTGATTGCATGTAAATTGGTTAGATAGTATAGGTAGGTCCACATAAAGTTTTGTTAAGTAAAGTTGGTTGTACAGAGATTGTAGGGTAAGATTGTATGGTACGCCTAGGACATATGACTTCTGTACAATGTAAAGCCAAGCATCTTTCGGAAGTGTCCCTTATTATATAAAGACAATCAAATATCCATAGCCAAGGATAAATCTGTTCAGGCCTTGCTAGCTGTAGGGTAAACCACTTGTTTCCGTCCATTTCACTCATGCTCATTGTCATCTCTTTATGCCAACAGTGGGAACTGCTATGGTTTGCGATCCTCACCTTCACCTTCTTCCTCACCCTCACCTGGTTTTATTTCTGGTGGGAAGTTCACAATGACTACAATGAGTTCAACTGGTGAGTACATTAACTGTTTTCTCCAGTCTGCAAAACCATTACTGCACATCTAAAAGAGAATTCGCAACCAAGTCAGTCCTTTTATGTGCCACAAGGTAACCTTCTATCATGTACCAGGACAGTCTATTGCAGCCTTTCTCAACATTTTCAACATAGGGCAACCCTTGAAACAACTTTCCAGTTTTATGGTACCTCTGCTAAAAATGACTAAGCTACAACTCCTTACACTTGTGGTCATTGGGAAGATTTCTCCCCTTACAGATAGCTAAAAAGATCAATGGTGTCAGTGGGAATATATCTGAGAGGCAGAAATTGCTTATTGCTCAAGGAACCCCTAGCAACTTGTGGAGAAACCATACTGTTCCGCAGAACCCAGGTTGAGAAACCCTATCGCATGGATGTCAGCAGAAAGTTTCCCAGTGAGCTTCAGTGGAGAGTGGTGGAGAGACTTGATGCTTGAGCTTTATTTGACTTGGGTAGTTCAGAGCTCACCGCAATACCCCATACCTCAATAACTTTCCCCAACTCTACCTCCCCTTGTAACCCCTCCAAAAAAAAGACACTACTCAGAAGTGGAATTAAAATGGCCGAATCTTTTATTAAATGACTTATAAATAACATCACCGCAGTATAATAATCTCAGTCAACAATGTTTGCAGGTACTTGACGGCAATACCAAATAAAACCTTGGTGTCTGTGGCACCTTTAGCTAAGTTATGTCTCCAGCCACCAAACACCACCTCGGGGAGTGTCTTAGCTGATCTCAGACACCTACTAATCTTACCACTACCCAGTCACTCTGAATTGAACTGGACCAAACTAGAGGACCCCATGCCCAAGATGGGTCCCACCATTTTCCCAAGAAACTCCGTATTAATATCCCCATCAAGGACCCCAAACTGCCAGTGCCATAAAACAATACCAAATGCAATAACGGGACAAATCGAGTGGGAGGCAGGGGCGTCAACTGTTCACTGTATAGAAATGCAAAGTCATTGACCTTACATTTTCTAACAGATAAGGGAATGCTATTCATAGCTTGATTGCTCACCATCTTTTGCAGCATTTTAGAATGGTCCATGTCATCCCTTTTCAGCTGCCACATGGAGTGGGTCACATGACTGCTCATCACCTGCCATGTTGTCCTAAAAATAGGAAATATAGCATTAAAGGGCCTTTATCTGTAAATGGTTTAACTGAGACGGAAAGGCAGCATGGCTCCAATGTCTGGGTCTTGCTTTCGAGTGATTCTGTAATCGAGTTTGTGACGCTCCTATTAGAATGAGATGTAGTATGTCAGAGATGTTACTAGGTGGAGATGGCATTCGTTCCAGATGGGCGACCATGAGATGGATGGCCTTTTTAATATTCAGACGCGGCATAACAGCCATACCCTGTGAGTGATGGATACCCAGCGACTCTGTATGTCAAGTGAGAGACGCGGCAGAGCTCATCATGGTGATGCTGTCAGGACATCACTTGTAATGGGCATAGAATTGACTGTTCTGTTGTTTTATTAAAGCGAGACTAAAACAACTCTATTCGGTTCACTTATATACTTTGTCAGGATTCTAGGGCCGTGTGTGTGTGTGTATATGTATATATGTATATGTATATATGTGTATATATATATATATATATATATATATATATATATATATATATATACACAAAATATATATATATATATTCTCAAAATTTGAAAACCATATTCTTATGTATCATTTTTATAGTGCAACTCCTCCAGCCAAAGCATTTTGTTTAGAGTGGGGAATGGTTAGAACCTCTTTCAGGATTCATCACTCTGTCCCCATTATTGAGATTCCCCTGTCCTCAGAGACAAAACAGGAAATAAATGGAAATATCAACATGAGTAGAAATCCCACCTTTGACAGTTATCAATGGAATAGGGGTGTCTATTGGAGGATATCCTTCATACTCCTGTTTTGATGGCAAATTTTGCCCCCACCCAACCCCTCTTTCACCTCTCTCCAACTTTCTTCATCAATGACAATGGTCACCATGATAAACAGAGGGTCAACCTCATATATATATATATATGTGTGTGTGTGTGTGTGTGTGTGTGTGTGTGTGTGTGTGCGTGTGTGTGTAAAAATGATGCAGCAGCCTAGTCCATTTTGCTGAAATTTCATTGCAGCAACTCAATATGGTACTCAGTAGTTTGTATGGCCCCCACGTGCTTGTATACATGCCTGACAACGTCGGGGCATGCTACTAATGAGACGATGGATGGTGTCCTGTGGTATTGCCTCCCAGATCTGGACCAGGGCATCACTGAGCTCCTGGGCAGTCTGAGGTGCAACCGGGCGGTGTCGGGTTGACCAAAACATGGTATCCCAGAGGTGTGCTATTGGATTTATGTCAGGCGATCGTGGGGGCCATCCAATGGTATCAATTCCTTCATCCTCCAGGAACTTCCTTCATACTCTCGCCACATGAGGCCGGGCATTGTCATGTACCAGGAGGAACCCAGGATCCACTGCACCAGTGTAGGGTCTGACAATGGGTCCAAGGATTTCTTCCTGATACCTTTTGACAGTCAGGGTGCCATTGTCTAGCCTGTAGAGGTCTGTGCGTCCCTCCATGGATATGCCTCCCCAGTTCATCACTGACCCACCACCAAAACGGTCATGCTGAATGATGTTACAGGCAGCATAATGTTCTCCACAGCTTCTCCAGACCCTTTCACTTCTGTCACATGTGCTCAGGGTGAACCTGATCTCATCTGTGAAAAGCACAGGGTGCCAGTGGTGGACCTGCCAATTCTGGGGTTCAATGGCAAATGCCAATGGAGCTCTATGGTGCTGGGCAGTGAGCACAGAGCCCACTAGAGAACGTCGGGCCCTCAGACCATCCTCATGATGTCTGCTTCTGATTGGACAGATACATTCACACCAGTGACCTGCTGGAGGTCATTTTGTAGGGCTCTGGCATGGCTCAATCCCATTCCTCCTTGCACTAAGGAGCAGATACCGGTCCTGCTGATGGGTTAAGGACCTTCTATGGCCCTGTCCAGCTCTCCTAGAGTAACTGCCTGTCTCCTGGAATCTCTTCTATGCTCTTGAGACCCTGCTGGGAGACAGAGCAAACCTGGCAAATGCATGTATTGATGTGCCATCCTGGAGGAGTTGGACTGCCTGTGCAACCTCTGTAGGGTCCAGGTATTGACTCATGCTACCAATAGTGACACTGACTCTAGCCAAATGCAAAACTAATGAAAAACAGTCAGAAATGAAAAAAAAAATTTAATTGGCTTCTACCTGTAAAAAATATTCTACCTGTAAAAAAAAATATTCATCTACCTGTATCAAAAAATATTCCTAATTGTTTTGGGGGTCATCTCATTGTTGCACCCCCTGAAAATCAAGTATTTCACACAAAAAAGTATTGCATTAACACATGTTTTGTATAATGTTTTTCATTAATATGACATAAGTCACACAAAACCCCAAAAATGGGCTGTATTGGATCAATATTTGGTTGCACACCCCAGTCGAGCTTCTGACACCTCTCACCCGGAATTTTGGACCACTCTTCCTTTGCAAACAGCTCCAGGTCTCTCTTATTGGAAGGACACCTTTTCCCAACAGCAATTTTAAGATTCCACAGGTGTTCAATGGGATTTAGTGGGCTCATTGCTGGCCACTTCAGAACTCTCCAGCGCTTCTTTTTTTTTGAGTGCTTTTTGACTGTGTCCTGCTGGAAGACCCAGGATCTTGGACGCAAACCCAGCTTTCTGACACTGGGCCCTACAGTGCGACCCAAAATCTTTGGTAATCCTCAGATTTCATGATGCCTTGCACACAGTCAAGGCACCCAGTGCCAGAGGCAGCAAAACAACCCCAAAAATCATTGAACCTCCACCATATTTTACCGTAGGTACTGTGTTTTGTTCTTTGTAGGCCTCATTCCGTTTTCGGTAAACAGTAGAATGATGTGCTTTACCGAAAAGCTCTATCTTGGTCTCATCTGTCCACAAGACGTTTTCCCAGAAGGCTTTTGGCTTACTCAAGTACATTTTGGCAAACTGTAGTCTTGCTTTTTTATGTCTCTGTGTCAGCAGTGGGGTCCTCCTGGGTCTCCTGCCATAGCGTTTCATTTCATTTAAATGTCGACGGATAGTTCGCGCTGACACTGATGCTCCCTGAGCCTCTTGAATGTCTTTGGAACTGCTTATCCACCATCCGGACTATTCTGCGTTGCAATCTTTCATAATTTTCCTCATCCGTCCACGACCAGGGAGATTAGCTACAGTGCAGCAAACTTCTTGATAATGTTGCGCACTGTCAAATCTATCCTGGAGATGGACTTGTAACCTTGAGATTGTTGATATTTTGATTTTGGTTCTCAGGTTGACATGCATGCTTAGTGTGGCACAGACAGACACACAATGCAAAAAAAGTGTCTCTCCTTTTTATCTGCTTTCAGGTGTGATTTCTATATTGCCCACACCTGTTACTTGTGAGTTTGCATCACATGCTTGTAACATTCTTATTTATCCGCAGTTGTGAAAGGGTGCCAATACTTTTGTCCAGCCCATTTTTTGGAGGTTTGTGTGACATTATGTCGAATTTGCTTTCTTTCCTCCTTTTTTTGTTTTGTCCCAATACACACAAAGGGAATAATGTGTATAGCAAAACATGTGTTATGCAATATGAGAAATATGATTTCCTGGAGAAATATCAAGGGTGCCAACAATTTCGGCCATTACTTATATATATATATATATATATATATATATATATATATATAATATATTTATTTATTTATTTATTTTTTTATAACTAAAAGCAAAACCTAGTTTTTTTTTTATTTTGTTTTGCATAGAGTGGGATTAAAACACCTGTCAGGCTTTTATTGCAGTCTGTGGCCCCATTAGGGAAATTCACCCTATTTGTCCAATTTACTGTTATAACCGAAAGAGCAAGAAAAAAAAATGATTTTGGGTTGCCCCCAGCACAGGAATGGGGGGAAATCTTTCAATGGGGACACTAGGTCTGGTGACAACCAAAGATTCCCCTCACTTTGAAGAGATTTCCTCTCACTTCCTGTTTTGGCTATGGGACAGGAAGCGAAGGGAAATCTCCCCAATCGGGCACAGATGTAAAAAAATAATCTGACAGGGATTATAACACTCCCTCTTCCATCTAAAATGAAAAACATTTTGCCTGTAGTTCTATTTTTGAGCAGATTTTTATTGCTATTCGTTTCCCCTTTGGGTGAAAATTTTGTCACAAGGAAAAATCTCCCCGAGGATCTTGTGGACATATAAAACCTGAAAGAGGTCCTTAGAAAAGATGAAATTGGGTATCCTCTGAACGAATCTCTATCAAAATGTGCCTTTTATTTCCCTTTTAGCTACGGGCCTTTGTGTGTGCCTTGGGATGGGGAGTGACCCAGCCAACGATTGGATAGTTTGGATAGAGATTTGTTTGGAAGATCCCAAGCACATCTCTAGTCCTTACCCTTCCCTGCTTCTTTAAGTTAAAAAAAAAAAAAAAAAAAAAAAATTCTGGAGTTTAGCACAATCTGATAAAATGTGTGCTGGCAGTGCTGGGCTTTCTGATTAGAAAGCCCAGTATTTGCAAACCGTGCCATGGATGTACCTTGTAATTAATATACGTTTTATACAAATTTCATACAAAAATGCACTTCCAAACATTCAACATGTTTATAAAAGTTGTTCTTATTTTTCAGGTTTTTATATAATAGAACAGGACACTGGGATGACTGGTCCATTCCAATCCTTGTCACTACTGCTGCAGGATTTACGTATATTACAGCACTCTTGGTGAGTTACTACACACAGAATGGGGTCTGGAGCTCTGTGACAGTTTGGTGACTAGATAACTGGCTGAGAGTCCTACTGGGCCAGGTGTACAAAAAGTAGATGGCCGTTTTGAATCTGATCTTGCATTAATGTGATTGCATATGTATGTAGCAACCAGTTCCTGTGGTCAAGCTATTTGAATATACACCAACCTCTATGTTCCATGTACCATACAAAGGTATTCTAATATACAGTCCATGCTAGTGGAGGCTTGTAGGCAGGTTGCGGGAAGGATGATCTCTGTAGTTTTTGTTTCAGGCTCTTCTGCCCCCCCCCCTCCTCCTCCTCCTCCTCTTCAGCAGTACTCTTAGGCTCCAACCAACATGTTTCGTCCTATGGGACATCATCAGGAGCTTATTTCTTACTCATACAAAAGTATTGATTATGTTGGGAAGCTACACTGTACATTGATTTTACAACATTAACATGCTTCTCACACTGCTTTTTTCTTTTTTTTTTTTTCATTCATTTACAGTTCAGTTAAAGTCACAGAAATAGATATGCAGTCAGATGTAACGTACTAACAGCCTCTATTTTAGTCCAGCCTCTATCTACTATGTGTGTGTGTGTGTGTATGTATATGTGTGTGTGTATATATATATATTATATATATATATATATATATATATATATATATATATATATATATATATATTTTTTTTTGTAAGCTGTAACTCGGTTTCGTCACCACCAGCTCAGGCCCTCTGCTCCCTGCTCACCACTTTTAAACACAGAAGTCCCAGGTAATGTGTTAACAAGTGGCAGCTTGTCTCCCAATGGCTCCAACAGATCTGATCTCCTGAGCGGCTCCCACTGACTGCAGGGCAGGGATAAGTGAGATGCAGGTGCCCGGGGTGCAGTGTGGGGGGAGGGGGGCATTGCGTGGTAGGTTGCACCCTCTGTGCTCTCATTTTTTTTTCCTGGTGCACCGATGCTGATACCCCAGCTGGATGATCTCCCTGCAAGTCAGAGAGGCAGAGCAACCTACAATGTTCATGGAGGTACTAGAGTTGGCTGGGTGCTTCATCTGACTATAGCAACAAAAGTAAGACACATGGAAGACTATGTAGCTTTTAAGGAGTTGGGAGAAGATGGGGGCAGTGGAGGTGGGGTTGTGTGCAGAGGTAAGACCTGAAGAGGGGCAAAAGTGAGATGTGGACAGGGGATGCAGTGGTAAGCAGCTGTGGAAGAGGGCGGAAATCTGCACTCTGTGTATTGCACTCATGGACTCTGCACTCTGTATGTAATGAACCCCTAAACACTGCCTTCTGTGTGTTGTGCACCCCTTTTATTTAATGCCCCTTTAAGACCCTCCCACTGGTAGTGAAATGTGGCCACATTTACTGTTTGCAGATTGGCAGTTGTGTGTTTTCGGGGGGCATAGTTAAGTTCCTGCGCCTCTTCTTTGAGGAAAAAAAAGCCGTGGGTATATATAATATTATTTTTATATATATATATATATATATATATATATACATACACAGTCAGGTCCAGAAATATTGGGACATTGACACAATTCTAACATTTTTGGCTCTATACACCACCACAATGGATTTGAAATGAAACAAACAAGATATGCTTTAACTACAGACTGGCAGCTTTAATTTGAGGGTGTTTACATCCAAATCAGGTGAACGGTGTAGGAATTACAACAGTTTGCATATGTGCCTCCCACTTGTTAAGGGACCAAAAGCAATGGGACAGAATAATCATAAATCAAACTTTCACTTTTTAATAATTGGTTGCAAATCCTTTGCAGTCAATTACAGCCTGAAGTCTGGAACGCATAGACATCACCAGACGATGGGTTTCATCCCTGGTGATGCTCTGCCAGGCCTCTACTGCAACTGTCTTCAGTTCCTGCTTGTTCTTGGGGCATTTTCCCTTCAGTTTTGTCTTCAGCAAGTGAAATGCATGCTCAATCGGATTCAGGTCAGGTGGTTGACTTGGCCATTGCATAACATTCCACTTCTTTCCCTTAAAAAAAACTCTCTGGTTGCTTTTGCAGAATGCTTTGGGTCATTGTCCATCTGCACTGTGAAGTGTCGTCCAATGAGTTGTGAAGCATTTGGCTGAATATGAGCAGATAATATTGCCCGAAACACTTCAGAATTCATCCTGCTGCTTTTGTCAGCAGTCACATCATCAATAAATACAAGAGAACCAGTTCCATTGGCAGCCATACATGCCCACGCCATGACACTACCACCACCATGCTTCACTGATGAGGTGGTATGCTTAGGATCATAAGCAGTTCCTTTCCTTCTCCATACTCTTCTCTTCCCATCACTCTGGTACAAGTTGATCTCGGTCTCATCTGTCCATAGGATGTTGTTCCAGAACTGTGAAGGCTTTTTTACATGTCGTTTGGCAAACTCTAATCTGGTCTTCCTGTTTTTGAGGCTCACCAATGGTTTACATCTTGTGGTGAACCCTCTGCATTCACTCTGGTGAAGTCTTCTCTTGATTGTTGACTTTGACACACATACACCTACCTCCTGGAGAGTGTTCTTGATCTGGCCAACTGTTGTGAAGGGTGTTTTCTTCACCAGGGAAAGAATTCTTCGGTCATCCACCACAGTTGTTTTCCGTGGTCTTCCGGGTCTTTTGGTGTTGCTGAGCTCACCGGTGCGTTCCTTCTTTTTAAGAATGTTCCAAACAGTTGTTTTGGCCACGCCTAATGTTTTTGCTATCTCTCTGATGGGTTTGTTTTGTTTTTTCAGCCTAATGATGGCTTGCTTCACTGATAGTGACAGCTCTTTGGATCTCATCTTGAGAGTTAACAGCAACAGATTTCAAATGCAAATAGCACACTTGAAATGAACTCTGGACCTTTTATCTGCTCATTGTAATTGGGATAATGAGGGAATAACACACACCTGGCCATGGAACAGCTGAGAAGCCAATTGTCCCATTACTTTTGGTCTCTTAACAAGTGGGAGGCACATATGCAAACTGTTGTAATTCCTACACCGTTCACCTGATTTGGATGTAAATACCCTCAAATTAAAGCTGACAGTCTGCAGTTAAAGCACATCTTGTTAGTTTCATTTCAAATCCATTGTGGTGGTGTATAGAGCCAAAAATGTTAGAATTGTGTCGATGTCCCAATATTTATGGACCTGACTATATTTCCAGGACAACCAAAGAAAAGTTTTCGCTATAAATACGCTTTAGGGGTTTCAAAAAAATCTATTGAGAACATTGTAATGTTTTTCTTCACCGTGTTCATCAGACTTGGCATTTAGAGAGGGAATTAGGCTTGAGAGCAACAGGATGCAAACCGTATTCAATGGCTGAAGTTTCGTAAAGGAAAGGCCAAGCTAAATGACAGAGCAGCTTTGTTCATAATTGCCGGCTTCCCTTTGAAAACTCTAGTTTATTCTTCATTACATTTGTTCTTATTTGCTTCGGTCACCTTTGTGTCCTCTTAATGTTAGATGGTTTGTTCGCGCCCAACATTTAACAATGTACTGCTGTAATTATGCCGCTTTATTTGCTGCTAGGGCTTTATCGGTGGGCTGGGATTAAACATTTGCTAAACGCATTTTTTATTACTGTGATCCATCAACAAGCTTTTAAATATTCATGGGATAATGGAGGGATCATATAGAGAGATTGCATCAGTTTAAAGCTCTGCTAGTGCAGGCTCGGACCCTGGAAAGATTATTTAAAGGTCAATGTTTCAAAAAAAAAATTAAATTGATGAAAAGAAAGTCCTCTGATTCTGGAAAACCTGGCTACAAGCTTCAACTGGCTGGGTTCTGATTGGTAGACGTGTTATTGGAACATCATAGACAAGTCAGTAGAGACTTTTGTAACAGATATTTTACACATAAATGCAACCAGAGGTGTGAACATTTAAAGGGGACCTTGCATCCCAGTCCCACCTGCTTCCTGTCAATGAGGGTGATGTCATTGGGTCTTTTCCCAGTTTCTTGGGATACCTGAATTATACAGGATCTAATTTTTACAGAATTTGGGATCCTTAGCTGATCCAGGACTTGGGAGAAGCTCCATTGATGTCACACTTGTCCCAGGTGAGCATGCAGGAAATCAGGGGGTAACGGGAGTATTTTTTTTATCTGGGAATGTGGGGCTACCTAACGATATTGGTCCATTATTATTTACAAGGTATAAAATGGTCAATTTCTAAGGCTAATATCCTTATTTTCTGAATGATCTGAACTGAAAATGCTGATGTTTCTGGATCGCTGGTACTACCCCTGTAATCAGGGCCATGGATAAGAGGGTACCACCACTCCTCCTGTACAGGGCCCAGGCAGCTGGCTGAATGGGATGTGGGCAGGAATGGTGAGTAGGTCAATTACTGGAACAAATCCCCTGTGTGGCGCTCTCTGCAGCAGCTGAAAGCTAGCTTCTTCTCCCCCCGCTGGCTTTTAGCTGCTGCTGAGACATACAGGGGATCGGTTCCAATAATTTACCAGCCCCTTCCTTTCCTGAATGAAAACAATTATTATTATTATTATTATTATTACTACGAGTTTATATAGCGCCAAAGGGTTTGCTCAGCGCTGTACAATAGGGGGGGACAATACATGGCACAGTACAACAACAACAACAAACAACGTACGAGGGGTAAGAGGGCCCTACTCTTACGAGCTTACAATCTAGGAGGGAGGGGGTAAAGGTACAGTAGGAAGTGGCTGAGGGGGATGAAGTGGTGGGAGGAATGAGGGAGGATGGCCGTTAGGTGAGGGTGGGGTAGGCTTCCCTGAAGAGATGGGTTTTGAGGGAGCGCCTGAATGTGAATAGGGAAGGCGACAGTCTGATGAATTGGGGCAGTGAGTTCCAGAGGATGGGGGAGGACCTGGAGAAGTCCTGCAGTCGTGCATGGGAGGAGGAGACCAGGGAGCAGGATAGAAGGAGGTACTGTGAGGAGCGAAGGGTACGGGTAGGGTGGTACTTGGTGATCAGGTTGGTGAGGTAGTCGGGCAGTGTTGTGAACGGCTTTGTAGGTCAGGGTTAAGAGTTTAAATTTGATGCGTTGGGCAATCGGGAGCCAGTGGAGGGAGAGGCAGAGGGGGGTGGCAGAGGTGGAGCGGGTGGTGAGGTGGATGAGTCTGGCAGCTGAGTTCAGGATGGTCTGGAGCGGGGAGAGCCTGCACTTGGGTAGGCCAGTGAGGAGGGAGTTGCAGTAGTCAAGGCGTGAGATGATGAGGGAGTGTACTAGAAGTTTGGTGGTGTCTGGGGTGAGGAAGGAGCGTATCTTGGCAATGTTGCGAAGATGGAGCCTGCATGTGTTTGTGAGTGATTTGACATGTGGTTGGAGGGAGAGGTTCGCGTCAAGAATGACGCCAAGGACTTTGGCTTGCGGGGCGGGAGTGATAGTGGAGTTGTTGGTGATGATGGATAGGATGGGGGGGGGGGGTGTTGGCAGGGGGAAAGATGAGGAGCTCGGTTTTGGAGAGGTTGAGCTTGAGAACAATGAGTGATTGGTATTGATTACTCACTGTGTGTTCATTCATAAAATGAAGCATAGTAAACTGTTTGTTTGTTTTTTTTGTTTTTTTTTGTGGGGTTGGGGGTAGGCTTGTTAGGTTGGCTGTACGGGGCCCTGTGGTTTTGGGAGGGCCCTGTCAGAAAACATAAGGCCCCTTACAGCCATCTTGACAGGGCCCTCCCAAAATCACAGGGCCCCATACAGCCAACCTAATGGCAGCCCTGCCTGTAATTCTAAAAGAATCCTGTAACAACTCTGCAGCCATGCTCTGAGTTGTTATTCTGATGGAGATGGGAGGGCTGTTAGGTTGGCTGTACAAGGCCCTGTAGTTTTGGGGGGGGGGGCTGTTAGGTTGGCTGTAAGGGGCCCCATGGTTTCTAACGGCATCCCTGCCTGTAATTCTAAAAGAATCCTGTAACAACTCTGCATTCCTGCTCTGAAGTACGGTAAAATGTTGGCTGAATTTGATGACATGAAAACTGAATAACATAAACCTGTCTCAGACCTGGGAATTTCAATATAAGCATTTGGGAAAATAATATATTACCTGAGGGACCCTTGGTGGAAAATGCAGTGAAAACAAGAAGTAGATCAACAAATACAGGCAGCTGAAGTTATGTACAGTTCTCTTTGAAAAAGTTTGGCTTTGCTTAATAGCACTTTCCCATTGGTCCTTTAATATGATGGCTGAGCTTCTGCTACCAATTTATTGGTTCCTTGATTTGTTGGGTTGGCTTACCAATAGGGAGTCCTGTTAGGCACATGAAGATAATTTTCGCTATTACAGGTAGATTAGTCAGGATCTGCATGTAACTTCAGCTGCCTATATATACTTATTCAGCAAATTCTCAGTTTGAACTGCACAGGAACGATTTTTTAGGAAACTTCCAATTCCAGAGGATTATTGTGTATGTGGATTCTGTGAATTAATTATTTTCTGAGTATAGCAGATTTCAGTTCTTCATTTACTTTCCATGTGTCCATCTGCTCATTCTTATTTTTTTTTTATTTGACAGATATTAGCACTATGCCACATCGCTGTGGGACAGCAGATGAACTTACACTGGCTTCACAAGGTGACTACATAGGCCTGGAGTGAATTATAATACTTCTATTGATACACTATGTAGTCAAAGGTTTGTGGACCTCCTCCAAATGATTGAGTTGAAGAGTTTCTAGTGAAGGGTGTTGTTAATGCTACAGCATACAAAAACATTTTAGACAATTGCGGTGGTAACAATTTGGGGAAGGTCGTTTCTGTTCCGGCATGATACTGCCCCTGCGTACAAAGCCAGCTTCATAAAGTCCTGGTTTTGTGAGTTTGGTGTGGAGGACCTTGCGTGTCTTGTACAGAGACCTGACCTCAACTGTACCTGAACACCTTTGGGATGAATAAGGTGTTCTCATCCAACATCAGTACCTAACTTCACAAATGTTGTTTTGGCTGAATGGGTATATATTTTCAAAGACACATTTCTAAAATTTAGTGGAAAGCCTTCCCGGAAGAGACAAAGCTGTTATAGCCACTGGGAGGGTGACGGGGCATGGCCAAGATCTGGAATGGGATGTCCAACAAGTCCATGCAGGTTTGATGGTCTGCAAACTTTGGCCATAAAGTCCTATATAGTTTAACCATTTCAATACCGGGCAATTTTACACCTTCCTGCCCAGGCCATTTTTCAGGTTTCAGCGCTCTCACACTTTGAATGACAATTGCGCGGTCATACAACATTGTACCCAAACTAAAATTTTATCATTTTCTTCACACAACTAGAGCTTTCTTATGGTGGTATTTAATCACCGCTGGGGTATTTTTTTGCTAAATTAACAAAAAAAGACCAAACATTTTGAAAAAAAAAACACGTTTTTCTTTGTTTCTGTTATAAAAGTTTACAAATAAATAATTGTTCTTCATAAATTTAGGCCGAGATGTATTCTGCTACATGTCTTTGGTGAAAATAACCCAAATTAGATGTATTATTTAGTTTGTAGGAAAGTATAGAGTTCACAAACTATGGTATAGATCTGAATATTGATCAATCCTGAAGTACTGACAGCCAATCTAATTTCTTGAGGTCCAAGAATGTCAGAATAGTACAGATATCCCCAAATGACCGCTTTTTGCAGAGTAGACAGTCCGACGTACTTCATAAGAGGCATGGCAAGTTTTTTCGAAGTTGTATTTTTTTTGTCATTTTTCGGAAAATTAAAAAATTATTATTGTCACTATTTTTTTTTTTTACATACTGTCACCAGTGCAGTACAGTGTCATCATATAACTGGCATGGCGGTGATCATGGACACTGACTGGTGACAGTATGAAAAAAAAAAATTATATGTATTTTTTAAAAATTTTTTTTAAATTTTTTTATTTTTAATTTTTTATAACATTTTGTTTAATTTTTAAGATTTTTTTTTTTCATATTTTACTATGACCAAAGTAGTACAATGTTACCATAGTAACATTGTACTACTTTGGGGAAGTGATCAGTATTTTTTTTTTTTTTTTTACACAATTTGCTTATAGCAAAGAATTACTTTGCTATAAGCAAGCATTTACCTGAATGAAATCGATTCATTCAGGGTTTTTTTGTTTTTTTTTTGTGCTTAGCTGTGATTTGGCCACAGCTAATCACATGACGTGCATGTGATCACTGTGACCATTCACAGCTAGGCACTAGTATACAATGGGTGGCATGAATGAAGCCATCCATTGTATACAACTGTCATGTGAACTGCTGTGATTGGTCACAGCAGGTCACATGGTACCGGCAACGGGGCCGGTACTCAGATCTGTCATCGGCCGTGTCCGAGGTACACGGCCGGTGACAGATGGCGACGCTCTTCAACCGCGCTAACTGCGCATGTGCAGGAGGACGCCAAATGGCGTGCCCCTGAAAAGCTAGAGCATTTTTGCAGCCGCCAAACGGCTATAGGCCGGGTGGCTAATGGTTAAAGCGGATGTAAAGGCTCTAGGTTTTTTTTTTTACCTTCATGCATTTTACATGAAGGTAAAAACCTTCTTTGTTCCTCAGTGCCCCCATCCTCTCAATACTTACCTGAGCCCCATCGAGATCCAGCGATAAGCATGATAGCCTTGGCTGTCTTGGGTCTCTGCCTCCTCATTGGCTGAGGCAGCAAATGGGAACCATTGGCTACCGCTGCTGTCAATCACAGCCAGTCAGCCAATGAGGAGAGAGAGAGGGGGTGGGGCCAAGTCACAGCTCCATGTGTGAATGGACACAGGCAGCAGCAGGTGCCCCATATCAAGCTGCTTGCTGTGGGGGAACCCGACAAAGGAGGAGCCAGAAGAGGCTGCGTGGGACCCAAGAAGAGAAGGATCCAGGCGGCTCTGTACATAACCACTACACAGAGCAGGTGAGTATATACGTTTGTTATTTTACAAACAAAACAAAAAAAAAATAAACCTTTAGTATCGTTATAATGCAACTTGGATTATTTGCTTGTTTTAAAAACCCCTATTTGTATTTTCTTCTTAAAGTGGACCTTTTAGTACACATTTTACTTTTTAATTTCAAATTCTTTAAATCCCTTTTTTTGTATAGAGTGGAGAAGGGTTAGAACCTCCGGTTTTTATCAATGTCGGTGTTTTGGGGAGCAAAAGTCGCCTTTTATAGGAATGAATAGTAACAGATCAAAAATAAGCCTAAAACATACCTCTCCGCACCTAAAACACACTGTGGACTGTGAGACAGTCCTAAGAAGCCACAGGCCCTCCAGGCTTTAATAAAATGCCTTGGTCATGTGGACTAACTCCTTAAAAGTGTTTTTTTTCTTTGTTTTTCAGGCTTTCCTTGCTGCTGTTCTGATTGCTACAGTTGTAGCTATGGCGTCCATAGAACAAATGTGGGAAGAAGAATGGGGAGTCCTATTAATTTCCTTCCAGGTAACATGAAACTCATATCAGGGAAAGAACTTTTAGGCCTCTTTTACATGGATGGCCAGGGGTGGTAATAGGCAGTTGAGCTGTGATTTTACTGCCCCCTGACCGCCCACCTACGTGCTTTGTGTTGTGACCACAGACAATTTAACACACTGTGTGCAGTTGTGGAATCCCATTGAGGAAAAGAAAGAAAATTACCAGGCATTCAGAAGGCAAGAAGACCCCTCCATAACATATTGGCTGTTTTTTTTCACTAATCTAATGATAAACTTAAATGGACAGTTAGCACTTTATTTTTTTTCATATCACATTATTGATCCCGTTGAAGAGCTCATCAGCAGCAAGAGAGCTAAAAGAATGCTAAAATATGCAAATGAGAAACACTGACCTGCTTACGCTTGTGGCTCACTCACCAGCTGGTCGTGTGAGGTGTCTTTACCTCGTTGGCTGGACGGGCAAAGCATCAGTCCCTTGTTTGGCTGGGAATAGAAATATCGCCAGCACACAGAGTTTCTCCAATATGGGTCCAAAGCTTTCAATGTGTAATCACATAGTTTCAAAGAAAGCAACATTTTGGAGTCTCGGAGGACCCCTTCATCAGGAATGTGATGTCTGAAACGTTGCTTTTCTTGCAACTATGTGATTCTTTTCCTTGATGTATCACAGGTCAAGCCATTGGTTGCTACAGCTCCCACTATACATACAGCCATTGTCCAATGCAAGAACGTGAGCAACTATTCACTCGTGGGCTGGGTGGGCGAGGCGTCACCCCCGTCTTGGGCTGGGTGTGGGCGAGGCGTCACCACCCCCGTCTTGGGCTGGGGTGGGCGAGGCGTCACCCCCCGACTTGGGCTGGGTGGGCGAGGCGTCACCCCCCCGTCTTGGGCTGAGTGGGCGAGGCGTCACCCCCCCGTCTTGGGCTGGGTGGGCGAGGCGTCACCCCCCGTCTTGGGCTGGGTGGGCGAGGCGTCACCCCCCCGTCTTGGGCTGGGTGGGCGAGGCGTCACCCCCGTCTTGGGCTGGGTGGGCGAGGCGTCACCCCCGTCTTGGGCTGGGTGGGCGAGGCGTCACCCCCGTCTTGGGCTGGGTGGGCGAGGCGTCACCCCCGTCTTGGGCTGGGTGGGCGAGGCGTCACCCCCCGTATTGGGCTGGGTGGGCGAGGCGTCACCCCCCCGTCTTGGGCTGGGTGGGCGAGGCGTCACCCCCCCGTCTTGGGCTGGGTGGGCGAGGCGTCACCCCCCCGTCTTGGGCTGGGTGGGCGAGGCGTCGCCCCCCCGTCTTGGGCTGGGTGGGCGAGGCGTCGCCCCCCGTCTTGGGCTGGGTGGGCGAGGCGTCGCCCCCCGTCTTGGGCTGGGTGGGCGAGGCGTCGCCGCCCCCCCCCGTCTGGTGGGCTGGGTGGGCGAGGCGTCGCCCCCCCCCCCCCTGGTGGGCTGGGTGGGCGAGGCGTCCCCCCCCTGGTAAGCTGGGTGGGCGAGGCGTCGCCCCCCCTGGTGGGCTGGGTGGGCGAGGCGTCGCCCCCCCTGGTGGGCTGGGTGGGCGAGGCGTCGCCCCCCCCTGGTGGGCTGGGTGGGCGAGGCGTCGCCCCCCCCCTGGTGGGCTGGGTGGGCGAGGCGTCGCCCCCCCCCCTGGTGGGCTGGGTGGGCGAGGCGTCGCCCCCCCCCCCTGGTGGGCTGGGTGGGCGAGGCGTCGCCCCCCCCTGGTGGGCTGGGTGGGCGAGGCATCGCCCCCCCCCCCCCCCCTGGTGGGCTGGGTGGGCGCGTCGACCCCCCCTGGTGGGCTGGGTGGGCGAGGCGTCACCCCCCCTGGTGGGCTGGGTGGGTGAGGCGTCATCCCCCCTGGTGGGCTGGGGTGGGCGAGGCGTCACCCCCCCTTAGTTGCCCTGTCACTGGCATGATCGCTAGTGTGACGTGGACATTGCCACTCCAGGCATGCTCCTCCAGGACCCCATAGACAAAAAGCATATTAGTGGAGCACTAGACTTACTGATAGGCAAGAACTCTGTTTGGTATAATGTTCTAATAGGCAGCTTACTGTCAGCTGGGTATTCCTGGGGGTCCCTGAAGTTATTCAAATGGTATATAAAGGATGAGAGCGCCACAGGTTTATATCAAGTCCAATAAAAGTTTATCTTTGTTGACAACAGGTTAGAGGATATATCCAATACATTTTGGGGGTTCCCAACTCCCCTTTCATCAGGGCTTGCATGCTTGCAGATAGCGGTCTGTCTGACTGGCGACCTGCGATCTTTCTAGTCTTTGTTTTATACAATACTTGACGCTGTCCAATATACCCAAATGACTGCCAATACACAAGCCCTGATGAAGGAATTGTGAGCCCACAAAATGCATTGGCTATATCAGTTTTTAAGATATATAAATGGGGCTTGGTACCAACTTGTGGCGCTCTCATTGTTTAATTTGCTATTTTGAACCCTGAGATGAATTCTTTATGCCAGGGCACATCAAAGGAGTACATTTTTGACTAAATAAAAAAAAGGCAACAAATCTCAGAGTCACTACTACTGTATATCAAGGGTCTTGTTGAGGTCTGTGATACCAGTGAAGAGATTTCCGCTCACTTCCTGTGCCAGTGACCAGTTAACATACTTCCACTGCACATCTTACAGGAATAGACCAATCAGATCTAGGATGCTGTATCAACATTTGATTGGATCGCTTGTATTGGGCACAGAATAGTCAGATTGTAGGAAGTAAAAATCTGCAGACTTTTTGAGCTCTACATTTTATATTTGTCCTGCGTGGAAATCATGGGTATAATCTGCATCGTTTTCTTGTAGGCGACGGCTCCATTTTTGCACATTGGGGCCCTGGTTGCCATTACTATGCTGGCGTGGATCATCGCCGGTCAGTTTGCACGGTCAGAAAAGGCCGGTGAGTATTTTATGGTCATTACTGGTTTTAGTTTTACAGTCTACTTAAGTGGAAGCTGCACTTAGAGGGAAAGTCTGCTTATTACTCCTGGATCCCAGCTGCAGCCATGCCAAATTGCTACGTTAAAAATGTATTTAAAGGGTAACTCCATTTTCTCTTTTTTTTTTTTTCTTTGCAATAAAAAAAAAAAAAAAACCACACAAAATAGCATGTACAATTGCTACACAAGTCACATTGTAATTGAATGTTATTAAAAATGACCTTACTTTTCAATCTGCAGCGTTGTAATTTTCTGTACAATGCGATATGGCAATCTGGAGTCGTTCTGTACACAGATGGTATCCAGAATGCCCCCCAGATATGTCATTATGTCATTCCCTGCTTGTGCAATTTGGCTTTCTTGTTTTCCCAGAAATCTTTACGGAGATACAAATCAGATTTTGGGCATCCCCTGAAATAAAAATTTTTTTTTTTTTCCCTTTTGTGATATACTCCCAAAGGCAAATCACATCTAAAGGGATGCAGACCCTGCCACTTTCCTCATTCGATCCATGTAGGTGCAGCAGCTGATATTTATAGCAGCTGATAATTATAAAGCCTTTCATACAAGGTCACTCTGCACATGGACAAACTTTCAATTCTTCAGAATAACAGCAAAGTTTGTCAAAATCCCTGCGATGTACATAGATCACCCAGAGGGGAGCATTTTTTTTTTCTCTCAACAAAAGTAGAGTTACTCTTTAAAAACAAAAGGTTTGGAGTTTATACTTCACCCTGGCTTAGGCCCACAATGCCTAGACAAGAGTGACCTCACATCCTACCATTAGATTCCCAGAAAAAATGAGGATCCCAGATCTGCCGCAAAAATGCTTATGCACTGGAGTGTCCACTTGCGAGTTTTTGGATATTTTGAAACCAGGATGATTTTTTTTTTTTCTCAACAAAAGTAGAGTTACTCTTTAAAAACAAAAGGGTTGAAGTTTATACTTCACCCTGGCTTAGGCCCACAATGCCTAGATAAGAGTGACCTCACATCCAACCATTAGATTCCCAGGTAAAATATGAGGATCCCAGATCTGCCGCAAAGATGCTTCTGCACTGGAGTGTCCACTTGCGAGTTTTTGGATACTTGGAAACCAGGATGATTTTTTTTTCTTTAACTCTTTAATGTATTTTGCTGTAAGGCACTGAAGTAATAAGCTAATCAAGCCTTTTAGTGTTTTTGAAGAAAACTCAACTTTCCTTTAAAATGGGAATTTCCATATACAATGCCTTGAAAAAGTATTCATACCCCTAGAAATGTTCCACGTTTTGTCATGTTGCAACCAAAAACGTAAATGTATTTTATTGGGATTTGATGTGATAGACCAACACAAAGTGGCACATAATTATAAAGTTGAAGGAAAATAAATGGTTTTCAAAATGTTTTACAAATAAATCTGTGAAAGTGTGGTGTGCATTTGTATTCAGCCCCCCGGAGTCAGTACTTCGTAGAGCCACCTTTCACTGCAATTCCAGCTGCAAGTCTTTTTGGGGATGTCTCTACCAACTTTTCACATCTAGAGAGGGACATTTCTGCCCATTCTTCTTTGCAAAATAGCTCAAGCTCTGTCAGATTGGATGGAGAGCGTCTGTGAACAGCAATTTCTTGGTCTATCGTATAAAATCCCAATAAAATACATTCACATTTTTGGTTGTAACCTGACAAAATGTGGAAAATTTCAAGTAGTATGATTACTTTTTTCAAGGCACTGTATTTCAACACTTTACTGGACATTTTGTGTTTAAGGGCTTGTTCACACTTGGCTGTTTTACCAACGCTTGCCAAACGCCCCTATAGCGTTTGGCAAGCGTTGGTCCAGCGTTTGCGGAGCGTTTTTTAACGCTCCGCAAAGGCCGCATGCGCGGTTTATCGGCGGTTGTTAGGCGTTTGCCGAGCGTTAGTAACGCCCCACAAACGCCTATAATGCACTTTGGCTACGTTCACATTAGCGTTGTGTGCAGGCGGCAGAGGGGCATTTGGGAAGCGTTTTTACCGCTCTGCCAATTCTGCACATTACAGCACATGGTGCTGTTCTAACGGGAGCGTTTGCGTCGTGGCAAAACGGACGCCTCTGGTCGAGTCAGGAGGCGTTGAAGCCTCCTATTCTCGTCTATGGTGCCGCTCCGCTAACGCCCGGCCGGCGTTTGCGGTGCGGTTGCGACGCGTTTGCGGAGCGGTAACACCACTCAAACTGTATTATAGGCGTTTGTGGGGCGTTATTAACGCTCGGCAAACGCCTAGCAACCGTCGCTAAACCGCGCATGCGGCGTTTGCGGAGCATTTGCCGAGCATTAAAAAACGCTATAGGGGCGTTTGGCAAGAGCTGGTAAAACAGCCAAGTGTGAACGAGCCCTTTGAGTGGTGTTACCGCTCCGCAACCGCACCGCAAACGCCGGCCGGGTGTTTGCGGAGCGCACCATAGACGAGAATAGGAGGCTTCAACGCCTCCTGACTCCACCACAGGCGTCCGTTTTGCCGCGACGCAAACGCTCCTGTTAGAACATCACCATGTGCTGTAATGTGCAGAATCGGCAGAGGCGTTTGGGAAGTGGTAAAAACGCTTCCCAAACGCCCCTCTGCCGCCTTCACACAACGCTAGTGTGAACGTAGCCTTAAAGCTGAACAGTGGGGCTGACAACTGGAGAGTGCAAAATCAGGTGCAGCTGTGCATGGTAGCCATTCAGCTTGTTCAATTAAGCTTTTACCAACAAAAAAAAAAATTGAAGCGGATTGGTTACTATGCAGAGATGCACCAGATTTCGCACTCTCCAGATGTATTAAATCACCCCCAATGTATTTATGCTATTTATTATTACATCATTAAATGTATGTATTTAAATTGAAAAAGTGTAAGTACCTGAATTTGGAATGGTATCGGCTTCTTGCTGCTTCCTGTACAGCAGAGCACAGAGAGGGGAGGGAGAAGCAGCACAAGGTGCCATTTAGGTGTTTTGTAGTGTAGGACGTATGCTGTTAGGAGGAAGGAGCAGAGTGACAGAGAAGGGCTCATCATTCTGCTGATAAACATTTTCATCAACAAAAGTGGAGTATGTCTTTAAAATAATTTATATATGTACATATAAAATGGGGAATATTATAAATATACTTTTGCAATAATCTTTTTTTTTTTTTCTTCTAGTGTTCCAGATTTGTCTCATCCTGGCATATTTGGCTGTAGTCATTGCACTGTACCTTGTCCCCCTCACCATTTATTCCCCATGCATCATGGACCGGAAGGATCTGGGGCCAAAGCCCTTGATCATTGGCCATCAAGGTGCACCAATGGTAAGAACTGTACCTAAAGAGAACCAAACACCTTTGAAAACGTCCACTGTTTCACTAGAGCAGGGGATCTCAAATTTTGTAAACAAAGGGTCAGTTTCAGATTTTATGGGGGAAGCTGGACAGTGGCTAGTGGTGGTAGAAAATATCCCAGGTTAAAAAAGAGAATAAACAATGCCTCCGACTGGGCGGTCATTGTGAGAAAATAAATTACATGGCACCTGTGGTCAGTAGTAGGAGGAAGAATAGTGCCCCATCATTGGTATCCGTGGGAGGAATAGTGCCCCATCATTGGTATCAGTGGGAGGAATAGTGCCCCATCATTGGTATCAGTGGGAGGAATAGTGCCCCATCATTGGTATCAGTGGGAGGAATAGTGCCCCATCATTGGTGTCTGTGGGAGGAATAGTGCCCCATCATTGGTATCAGTGGGAGGAATAGTGCCCCATTGTTGGTGTCAGTGGGGGGAGGAATAGTGCCCCATCATTGGTATCCGTGGGAGGAATAGTGCCCCATCATTGGTATCCGTGGGAGGAATAGTGCCCCATCATTGGTATCCGTGGGAGGAATACTGCCCCATCAGTGGTATCCGTGGGAGGAATAGTGCCCCATCATTGGTATCAGTGGGAGGAGTAGTGCCCCATCGTTGGTGTCAGTGGGAGGAGTAGTGCCCCATCGTTGGTGTCAGTGGGAGGAATAGTGCTCCATCAGTGGTTCATGGCAGGAATTATACCCCACTGTTGCTGTCAGTTGGAGGAATAGTGCCCTGTATCAGTGTGAGGAATAGTGCCCCATCAGTGGTTCATGGCAGGAATTATACCCCACTGTTGCTGTCAGTGGGAGGAATAGTGCCCCATCATTGGTATCAGTGGGAGGAATAGTGCCCCATCATTGGTATCAGTGGGAGGAATAGTGCCCCATCACTGGTATCAGTGGGAGGAATAGTGCCCCATCATTGGTGTCAGTGGGAGGAATAGTGCCCCATCATTGGTATCAGTGGGAGGAATAGTGCCCCATCATTGGTATCAGTGGGAGGAATAGTGCCCCATCATTGGTATCAGTGGGAGGAATAGTGCCCCATCATTGGTATCAGTGGGAGGAATAGTGCCCCATCATTGGTATCAGTGGGAGGAATAGTGCCCCATCATTGGTATCAGTGGGAGGAATAGTGCCCCATCATTGGTATCAGTGGGAGGAATAGTGCCCCATCAGTGGTTCATGGCAGGAATTATACCCCACTGTTGCTGTCATTTGGAGGAATAGTGCCTTGTATCAGTGGGAGGAATAGTACCCCTTGGGTCTGGTAAAAGGAAGCAAATGACCGCAGTTTGGAGATCATTGCTCTACAACACTCTTCAGTATAAATTTGCTTACAATACTAAAGGCCCTCTCACACCTATGCTGTCCGATGTGTTGGGTCAAGGTGCTGCTTGTATAACTTTGGAAATTGGTACATTTAAAGCTTTGGTGCCTGTTGGCTCCATCCAAGATTTCAAGGAGAGACCGCATGCCTGAAAGGTGATGACTTCTGCTTTGCTGTATTTCTGGATAACCTGTGGTCCTCTGGGAATCATTTGTCATGTAATAAATGTTTATTTGTAAAATAAAGATTGAATATACAGTACATATATACGGATAGCTCTATACACATACATTTAGAAACTTGTAAACTGAAAAAAATGTAAAAATCTTCTAGTTTCCCTTTAACAGAGACTTAGAAAAAAAGGGTGTTATGAGAAATGACAGGCACCAGATTGAGAGCCATATGGCAGCTACGTGTGAGCATAGAGGGAGTGAGGGCTGTGTGTGTGAGGGAGGGGGTGCTACTGTACCAGAATACTGTAAGGGGGGCTCTGCTGTGAAAGATCGCTTTTTTGGGGAGGGCTGTTCTGTCATAGCTTGCTCTATGGGGGGCTTGTTTTATTAGGGCTTGGCTGTACTGGAGGGCATGCTGTCATAGATCATTGCTATAGAATTATGAACATAGTAGTAGGGAGAAATGCCACATCCAAAATATAGCATACATACAGTTGTGTGGAGGGGGGGGGGGGCACTGCTTTAATGATGTATGGGGGTCCCGCTGTAATATATTGCTGTATCGGGGCTCAGTTGTAATAGACTCCCACATAGGACAACACCCTGTCATAGATTTCTGTATGAGGGTAGTGCTGTAATATACAGTTGTATGGGGGCATTGCTGTACAGGGGGCTCTGCTGTCAAAGATTGGTTTATGGGGGCACTGTTGTCATAGATTTCTGTATAAAGGGGGCGCTGCCATAAATGACTGTATGGGGGGGGGACTGTGCTGTCATATAGTTCTGTATGAGAGGGACTCTGCTGTCAGAATCACTGTATGGGAGCAGCACTCTGCTGTTAAGATTATTGTATGAGAAGGGGGGAACTCTGCTGTCATAATTTGCTGGATGAGGGGGGGGCTCTGCTGTCATAATTTGCTGGATGAGGGGGGGGGGCTCTGCTGTCATAATTTGCTGGATGAGGGGGGGGCTCTGCTGTCATAATTTGCTGGATAGGGGGAGGACGGGACTCTGATGTCATAGACTGCTGTATGGGGGGTGGACGGGACTCTGATGTCATAGATTGCTGTATGGGGGGGGACGGGACTCTGATGTCATAGATTGCTGTATGGGGGAATTATTTTGTCACAGATTGCTGTACGGGGGAATTCTTTTGTTATAGATTGCTGTATGGGGGAACTTTGCTGTCATAGTTTGCTGGATGAGGGGGGGGGGGACCTGCTGTCATTGATTGCTGTATGGGGGGACTCTGCTGTCATTGATTAGTGTATGGGGGGAACTCCTTTGTCATTGCTGTGTGTGTGTGTGTGTGTGTGTGTGTGTGTGGGGGGGGGGGGGGGTGGACTCTCCTGTCATAATTTGCTGTATTGGGGGGTGGTTCTGCTGTCGTGGATTATTGTATGGGGGGGGGGGGAAGGACTTTGCTTTCCCAGATTGCTGTTTGGGAAATGGGGGGGGGGGGGGATCTTCTGTTATAGATTGCTGTATGAGGGGCTCTGCTGTCATTGATTGCTGTATGGGGGGACTCTGCTGTCATTGATTGCTGTATGGGGGGACTCTGCTGTCATTGATTGCTGTATGGGGGGACTCTGCTGTCATTGATTGCTGTATGGGGGGACTCTGCTGTCATCGATTGCTGTACGGGGGGGGGGGGGGGACTCTTCTGTCATTGATTGGTGTGTGTGTGTGGGCTCTCCTATTATAATTTTCTGTATGGGGGGACTCTGCTGTCATGGATTACTGTATGGGGGGACAGACTTTGCTTTCCTAGATTGCTGTATGGGAAGGGGGGGGGGGGGGGGGGGGGAGACTCTTCTGTTATAGATTGCTGTATGAGAGGGACTTTGCTGTTGTTATAGATTGCTGTATGAGTGGGACTTTGCTGTTGTTATAGGTTGCTATATGAGAGGGACTTTGCTGTCATGGATTGTTGTACGGGGGACTTTGCTGTCATAGATTGCTGTATGAGAGGGACTTTGCTGTGCGGGGGGACTTTACTGTCATAGATTGCTGTATGATGGAGACTTTGCTGTCATAGATTGCTGTATGAGAGGGACTTTGCTGTATGAGGGGGACTCTGCTGTCATAGATTGCTGTATGAGGGGGACTTTGCTGTACGGGGGGACTTTGCTATCGTAGATTGCTGTACGAGGGGACTCTGCTGTCATAGATTGCTGTACGAGGGGGACTCTGCTGTCATAGATTGCTGTACGAGGGGGACTCTGCTGTCATAGATTGCTGTACGAGGGGGACTCTGCTGTCATAGATTGCTGTATGAGGGGGACTTTGCTGTAGGGGGACTCTGCTGTCATAGATTGCTGTACGAGGGGGACTCTGCTGTCATAGATTGCTGTACGAGGGGGACTCTGCTGTCATAGATTGCTGTACGAGGGGGACTCTGCTGTCATAGATTGCTGTACGAGGGGGACTCTGCTGTCATAGATTGCTGTACGAGGGGGACTCTGCTGGCATAGATTGCTGTACGAGGGGGACTCTGCTGTCATAGATTGCTGTACGAGGGGGACTCTGCTGTCATAGATTGCTGTACGAGGGGGACTCTGCTGTCATAGATTGCTGTACGAGGGGGACTCTGCTGTCATAGATTGCTGTACGAGGGGGACTCTGCTGTCATAGATTGCTGTACGAGGGGGACTCTGCTGTCATAGATTGCTGTACGAGGGGGACTCTGCTGTCATAGATTGCTGTACGAGGGGGACTTTGCTGTCATAGATTTCTGTACGAGGGGGACTCTGCTGTCATAGATTGCTGTATGAGGGGGACTTTGCTGTACGGGGGGACTCTGCTGTCATAGATTGCTGTACGAGGGGGACTCTGCTGTCATAGATTGCTGTACGAGGGGGACTCTGCTGTCATAGATTGCTGTACGAGGGGGACTCTGCTGTCATAGATTGCTGTACGAGGGGACTCTGCTGTCATAGATTGCTTTACGAGGGGGACTCTGCTGTCATAGATTGCTGTACGAGGGGGACTCTGCTGTCATAGATTGCTGTACGAGAGGGACTCTGCTGTCATAGATTGCTTTATGAGGGGGACTCTGCTGTCATAGATTGCTGTATGAGAGGACTCTGCTGTCATAGATTGCTGTACGAGGGGGACTCTGCTGTCATAGATTGCTGTACGAGAGGGACTCTGCTGTCATAGATTGCTTTATGAGGGGGACTCTGCTGTCATAGATTGCTGTATGAGAGGACTCTGCTGTCATAGATTGCTGTACGAGGGGGACTCTGCTGTCATAGATTGCTGTACGAGGGGGACTCTGCTGTCATAGATTGCTGTACGAGGGGGGGGACTCTGCTGTCATAGATTGCTGTACGAGGGGGACTCTGCTGTCATAGATTGCTGTACGAGGGGGACTCTGCTGTCATAGATTGCTGTACGAGGGGGACTCTGCTGTCATAGATTGCTGTACGAGGGGGACTCTGCTGTCATAGATTGCTGTACGAGGG